GATACCAAATAAATATTAAAGTTCTTTGATAATTTTACATTCTTGTTAGTTTACTGTAGCGAACTGATCGTATTTGTTATTCAATTATTTAATATTATAATTTTTTTTGGGTTCAAGTTCGGTATAGTGAAAAAACTTAAATTCGATTTCTTGGAATATTTAGAAGAAACGTCTAGAATAATCTTATGGTCGATCATTACTAAATAAGGTGCGATCATCTATAACCCAAATTTGGTATATTCCCTGACTGTAATAACGAAGAGCACAATTTTCCTTATTTATATTTTTCTTATTTACTTCATTGTTAACCCGTTTCCGTGATGAAATTTCTTCAATATATTCATTTTCAGTATCTGTCTCTGCAGATCATTTTGATTTGTTCAAATCTTGAAGAGAATTCTGTTGTGCTAATTTCAACTTTGGACGCCCTTTATGTTTTAATTTTTTTGGATTTTTAATTTGAGTAACATCAACCGTTATTCTTTCATTAGTATCAATACCAGTATGGTTCTCAATAAATCTCGTTATTAATCCCACAAATTCATCAACTAATCCATTTTCAAGTGCAAATTTTAATCCACTTTTGGCTACGCCAAAACCATGAGCATATTCTTGTTTTTGTATAATGCTTTTATAAATGCTAGCTTTATACATATCTGGCCCACGAATAGAAATAATTTGATTTGTTTCTTCATTTGCATCACATTCCACAACAGATGTGTCAGTAATTACAGAATAATCAGCCGCTTGCATCAGATCGGTATACCAATGTTTAGATATAAACCTAATGTCAAACTTAGCATTGCGTGACATCTTAAAAACATTGAAAAAATGCTTACAATAGAAACCATTAGAAATAATATAAAGACAAGTGCAAAGATGCGTATTATCAGTCAAAAGAATAACAAAATGAGGATAACTATGATTATGTTGGTCAAATAATAAAACCCGCCAAACTTCAAGAATATCTTTATAATTGACCATATTCATAATATTTTCAAGCGAAGCTTGTAATGCATCATATTCATCCTCAAGATATCCATCCAAATATTCATGAGCATTAGGAAGCTAATTAAAATGTTAATTCAAGTACAATTATAACATTGTTAATACGGTAATAACAATAAAAAATGGTAATTCAGCTATAATAATAATCACGTGAATAATATAAAGCCATACCGAAGTTAAGTTGTTTGGAATTTCAAATAAGTATGCACAATATAAAACACTTTGGGATATTTGAGTATTTTGAACCGATGCCGATTCTAGTGTTAGATACTTTTTGATCTCATCATGAACAGATTCAAAAAAAGTACTTTGAACACTTGGAAGTCCTCGGGTAGGTAATGAATTTTTATATTCAGAAAGCCGCTGATGTTGTGCCTCATGTTCAAGTTTCATTTAAATAGCTTTGACCAAATTGAGAAGTGTTGTTTTTGCATCAACTTCCGCTTTAATAAGCCCATTTGTACTTTCTACCCACTGCATGCTTTGCATACCAGCACAGAAAGTTGCAAACGTATATATCTTAGCCCACGATTGTTGAGATTTCCAAAGTTTACTTAAATAACTTTTGCCTGCAGGATACTGACTTAATAATTCTTCTCAACGACATTCTAATTCTATTTCACTATGGCTGTTATGGCACCAATATCAGCTTTGTAAAAAATTATTGTAGGAATTTCCAAGTTTTTGAGATAGTTTTTTTGCAATATTTATTTTATATGGAATATACAATGATTATGCTTTGAAGCAGGAAAGACTTGACTAACAGCAGAAATCATGGCAGAATCTGCGTCACTAAATATTACTTTGGGAACAAACTGTCAGTTGCTTTTAGTATATATTCAAGGATCCATTTGTATGAACTAACAGTTTCATCTTGGACAAGAAACTGTGCCACAATCCTTGTTTGATGATAATTGTCAACAACCACAAAAAAATTTAATAACATGTTATATGCATTTGTTTTTGCAGTATTATCGTTGACAACTACATCATGGTAATGCTTTCATAATTCTACCTGCGTCAGTGACATCCAAAACAGCCGCAAAAGATTATTATCAATGCCTTCAAACTCAATATAAATTGCCCATTCTGGCTCTTGCTCTTGTTGTTGCATAAGCTATTTAGCCATATCTGTAGTGTCATTTTCTCTTTGATTACTAATTTGATTTTTATATTGACGTATAGCATTATATAGATCATGATCATATAATGGTTGATTAGAGAACTTTTTCAAAATGCACTGACGTTGGGGTTTTGCTCCAAGACTGCATTGAGTTAAAACCTTTATCTCATCAAGAACTTTCTGTGAAAGAGAATGTAGACTTGGGGCGAACTCTTTGCGATATGGGACAAGGGTGTGGTTATACTCTTCAACCAATTTATTAACAACTACAGCACCAATGCTTTTTCGATACCCTATATTGAGTTGCCATGAGCAACCAACTTTTTTAGAATCTCTTTCCATATGGTCTGCATTATTTGATTTTGTTTTGGGTTGGTGCTCTTTAGAATTTTCACAAACAAAATATCGATGAATTATATCTCCGTTATTATCACACTCCATTCAAAACTTGATAGACTTGAATCCAACTTCTAATTCATAATTTTTCAATGCACTTTCTAATGATTCTCAACTAGGAAATACGGCACCATCTTGAATTCTACAATCATCCTCTTCCTTGCTACAATCAGATTCTTCATCGTTTTGTTGCTCAGAAGGTACTTCGATAGATTCTTGAACATTATCCTATTGATCTTGAAATAATTGCATTGATTCTTCAATTGGATAATCAACGTTAGAATGGTGACTAATTGAAAATGAGAGGTCAAGCGTGCTGAAAATACTAAAAAGAGGTTCGAAAAAGAGGAAAAATAATTTAAATAAGCACTGGTCAGAAAGGGACGATTGATCAGCAAAAAAAATAAAAAAAAAAGAATGAATAAGTAAATAAATAAGTGCTGGTCAGAAAGAAGAAACGGTTGGTCAGCAAAAAAAAAAAAAAATTTAAATAAGTGCAGTTAGAAGAACGGTTGGTCAGCGAAAGAAAAGAAAAAAAGAAAAATTGAACTAAATGCTGGTCAGAAAGGAACAGTTAATTGTGCTTCTTTTTTTTTTTTAATACAAACTGATTTACTATTTTGCTCTTCATTGTAGGTATAAAAAAACAGATCAGAAAATGAAAGCCCGAAGATATTATCTGACATGGCCGCAGAATTAAGATTGTCAAGAGTTAGACGTCCGGTTGATAATGGTTCTAAATGATGTAATAAAACAATAGCCGTGACAGCTTGGAATAATTTGCTTGCCGATTTAATAAGCTTTATCACATTTTGAAAAATCAAAAGGTGCGCAAGCAATTTGTTTCAATGCTTTCAAAAAAAATAAAAAAATAAAAATCTTACTATGTATTTATTCCAAAACTGTCTATTACATAATTTTTACATTATCATATACATTACAAACATTCATTGTAATACCTGTCGTGCATAATATTTACATGCTAAATCTCCAAATGTTACACTGCGATGTCGCAACTGCGATGTTGCAACCTGCTAAAATTAACAATTACCTATATAAATTATATATAAATAAAATAAAATTTATTTATTATTTAAAAAATACTGATATAAATTTTAATTATTATAAATAGACCTATAATATTTATAGTATTAATAAGTTTATTTACTAAATTTATAGTTAGAATATAGTTACAAAATAAAATAAAGATTAAATATAATGATTTAAATTTTAATTAATATAAGGTTTTAGAGACTTTGAATATTTTTATTTAGTATTTATAAGATGTTTTAGCTAGTATATTTTGAGATATAGTAACTATAATATTTTATACTAATAAAAAATTTGGGTCTTATAGTTTATTGATTAAGTCCTCAAAACCTTACAGACAAGGTCATCAGTTCAAGTCAGGCTGAAGACAAATTATTTAATTTGTTTTTATAGTATTAGAAGACTATAATTAAATATGAAACCTTGTGAATAAGATCAAATACAAATATAATCTAAAATAAGAATTTCTGAAAAGATACCTAAATATAAAAGGTAAGCACTATATATAACTGCAGTATTCAAAAGACTATAGCTATAAAGATTATACAAATAAGTTCTAAGAGACAAGAGACAGCATTAATATCCTTATATCTCCAGTTTAGACAATATTAATATCTTTATACTTAACTGTAAAGTACTTGACTAAAAGGATAGTTAAGCAAATAATTTAATTTAGTTTTGTAATATTAACAGATCATAATTAAACACAAAACATTCTTTTATTAAACACCTTGAATCCTTCTACTATAACCTTAACAATGTATACAACTTCTCATTCTATTTATTAATTAAAGAAGACTACAGCATTGTATATGTTTATCCTGGATCTGAACATAGATTTGTACGGCGTAGTTATTTTACAACACCAGTTGAAAGTTACAAATACTTTCCTTTCATTTCCCTCTCCATCTCTGATATCACCTCCATTAAATCAGAAACTATTCCTAATCTGGTTAAAGATGACTGGACCTACAACCTATATTTTT